TGGAACTTGACCGAAATTTTTCTCAGATTTCTTTCTGTTTCAGTACATTGAAAGATGCATTAAAATAGCAGGAACATTGGTCACACCAACAAGATGAAGCCATCTTAAACAAGGGACTTTCAACAAAAGGACTAGCAAAAATGACAGGGTTAGCATTCACAGGGCCAAACAGCAATAAAACAGAAGGTCCAGACAGTTTGAGTGAAAACAATTTCTATGATATTTCTTAAAAATAACTTCCAATGAAGGTAAGAAAAAAGAAAAACTTTCTTATGTTTATACTTATATTCCTATAATATTTCTTCTCTTAATATTAGTGTTAGATCTTAAGTTATGCAATCACAATTCACTGGCAGGTTGGTTACAATTAGTACTATTAAACCCTTCAAAATTAAGGCCTATGAGATGGCTCAGTTGGTAAAGGAACTTAATATTAAGCCTGATGACTTAGTTCAAGTCTGGAGAACCAGACCCATCTGGTGGAAGGGGAAGGAGAGACTCAAATTAACTCTTGTACCTTGTCCTCTGACCTTCGCAGGCACACTGTGGCACCCTTCTATAATCATAAAAAAAATTATGACTTGCAGTTTTTTTTCTTCTCCCCCACCTCTGAGCAGAAAATGAGATGTATTCAGTGTAGCTACACTTGGAAGAAGGAAAATGAGATCCAGTAATGCCCCAAGTGCTTCTTTGGATGCTAACAAGTGGATAAGGTTGAGTAGAAGGCAAGACTAAGGCATTACTAAGCAGTAAGACATTGTCCTGCTCTACACCCAACGCCAGTATATCAGCTCCAGCCTCTCCTGAAAGAAGGACCCATGACTCCTCTGCAAATAAACTTCTTGCTTGTGTCTAGAAGAAATGTTTTAATATGTGAATGATACACTAGATCAGCTGTTCTAACCCAGTGGGTTGCAACCCCTTTGGGGATCAAATATCAGATATCCTCATATCAAGATATTTACAATTCATAACAGTAGCAAAATTATAGTTATGAAGTAGCAATGGAATAATTTTACGGTTGGGGGTCGCCACATGATGTGTAAGAAAGGGACACAGCATTAGGAAGGTTGAGAACCACTGCACTAGGTGGAAACAAAAATTTGCTTCTCCACAGCAGAAACATTTTAATGACTACAATTTGGAAATGTATTTGAGATTTCTTGCTTCCAAATTTTTGGCAATGAGATCAAGAATGTAAACACAGCTTTTGAAATCTGCTTCGAAAATCCATGACATTCAGAAGCACTAATTACATTGGGTATAAGTCAATTTTAATAGCATTTGGACAGTTTTGAACAGAAATAAATAAATAAATAAGCCTTCAAATGCGGCCATCAAATGTAGATTCAAGACAAGGTCATGTTTAGTCAATGCAATGCCTGTCTGCAGAAAATTATGGTGAGCAATCACATGTTATATGTTCTAAATGATAAAAACACCCACCATTTAAAAAATGTGTCAACAGGGCAATCTCTGTACATAATAGCATCCCTTAGAGAGCAAATGTAAATGTGTGTTTACATGTCATTAAATTTTAGAGTTAGCAATAAAAAAATGAAAATTCAAGGATATAAATCATGTAGAATAGTAACCACAGCCATTAATACACAGGGAGCATTCCAGAGCCCTTCTAGTTCAAGTGCAAGCTGTGGAATAACTCTGTCCAGGGTATTTAGAACTCCGGAAGCTTTAGATTTCAAAACTCCACTAATAAAATTAATTATAGTATTTGTAAGAAAGATTCACTGGAAAGTCTTTTTATCCATTTATTCCGGTTTTACAACGCTTGGACACAAATTATCTTTTTTCCCATTTAATTATAAAAATTCATAAGGCTTGTATATAAGTTATGCACCCTTCACTTGTGACTTAATTCCTTCCTTCCTCTAAATTCAAAAGAAGAAGCTTTTTTAATTCCATTTCTTCCTCTCCAATTAAATATTATTTTATTGATTCAATAATTGTTTTTGTTGTCAACACAAGTTTAATTATGAAGTGATCATAATTAATGGAAAAACTTTTCCTCCATCCTTCTATTCTTCTTTCCCTTTCTTCTTTCTTTCCTTTTGTTTACATTCCTTAATGCCTTGCTTTATTTCTTTACTTTTTCATTGTCTGATTTTAAATAAAAGCAATATATAAGTAAAAGAAAATAATTCATATAAAATGAAAATTTATTCAAAGAACTATTCTCTTTTAAGTGTATAAAAGTACACAAAGATCTCTGAGATCAATAGTTAGGGGTAAACTTGAGCTAATTAGATTCACACATTTCTGTCCATGACCAATTAACTAGTAGAATGGGCTTCCCTGGCCATTTTGTAAGTTGGCTAAAAAACTTGTTGCAGAAAGCTCGAGTCCAGATTCAGTGCTGAAATCCTAGGTGCTGAACCAGGAATGATAAATTGTAGAGCAAGCATGAAGGTAATTTGTTATGCATGGCCTGAGGAAATTTCTGAGTAGAAAATCTCTGAGAAGAAGGAAGAGTCAGGATCCCTACTCTTAGTTGAATAATAGGACCAGAGTTGTCAGCCATGAAAAGCTCTTATCAACGAAAAAAAAATAAACAAATCCTGCTTGCTACTAACGTTTCGCTTTGTGTTTTCCATAGTGGAGATTGTCGATAGAACATTAAAGGTCATTTATAAATGAAAAACAAATCAGAAATGCTTCCCCCAATACACACACACCACATACACACACGCACACACACAGACATACACACGCACACACATGCACACATACGCACACATATACACACACATACACACACCCATGCACACACACACCCACCCACATGCACGCACACACACACCCACATGCACACACACACACACCACACACATACACACACCACACACACACATCACACACACATACACACACACACATACACACACACACACACACACACACACACACACACACACCTGCTTCCTGCAGTTCTTTGTAGAATACTATGTCACTCGTGTTTCTCACATCATGATGGTGGCAAATAGACTGTCTTAATAAGGAACCACTAAAAGCCGGTCGTGACCAGCTCCAAGTTACTTCATATTGTATAAAATGGTGGTTTCTCAGATTGTACCTTGCTGAAAGACTATTTTGAAAGCTTCTTTTGACTCCATTTTAAGGATGGAGGACAACTATGCACCTGGGTGGACATTTGAAAAAAATTGGAACCACTCATACAGCACTGATAAATCACTTACTCCTAGGAGTACACAGAATGCCATTCTGTTAATTTATTGGTGAGAATATAGGGGCATGTGTGCTTGTTACTATCATATCAAAGAAAAGCAGGCATAAGAACTTAATGGACCTACCAAACCAAGGAAAAGGTATAACTACCTCACGTGAAAACCATAAAAATGTGTACATCTAGGATGATCCATGTTGACTTCAAGGGACCTGTCACCTGACCACCTGGTATGTGCATCAAAGACCAAGAGGCAGAGAACTTATCACTATCCCTGAGCTTCAACCTGGTTTGGACCCAGTAAGGCCTGTCTGTTTGTCAATATAGACATGCCATCTATCCTTTCATACACATATAGACATGGTTCTGTCCTCTCACCTCTGCAGCTGGGAGCAATCCTGCACTCCACTCCTACACAAGTAACACTCATGTCAGCATGGCTACTGCTTCAGCTCCGATCCTGATGCTGATTTGGCCCCTTTTATTTCCATTTCTATCAACCTACTTCTTAAACTTTTGTCTTTTACTCTCAACAGTCACTTTATAACATATAATTTTGTGTGCATGTGTGCATATGTGTGTGTTTACATGCTCGTGTACATGTGTTTGTGTGTGCTTGTGTGTGTGTGTGTGTGTGTGTGTGTGTGTGTGTATGATGTGTGATTTGCAAGGAGTTAATATTAGTAATGACCATTGAAGTAAAATAACTTGTGTTCATGAGTCTGGAAAGACGGTTCAGTAGTTAAGAGTTCACACTGGTCTTGCAGAAGACCCAAGTTCAGTTTCTAACACCCAGGTCCAACAGTACACAACCACCTGTAGTTCCAACTCTAGAGGAATCAAAAGCCTCTGGCCTCTGTGCTAAATTGACTCACCTGCATGTACCCACTGGAAGACATACAAACACACTTTCACATATACACACGATTAAAATGATAATCTTAAAAATGGAGAATCTGTGCCACAACACCAGGGAAAAGCTGTTCATCTTACAAATTTGTGCCACTGAACCCCCATCACCACGTGAATTTACTGTGATGTAAGAGGTTCTGCCACTGTTTGTGTTTCCAACAAAGTATGTTCACCACACACATTGTAGCTCTCTGTAGATGCCAAGGAAAGTAAACAAGACTCACTTATGTCTACCGTTCCCTGAGACAAAGGACAGGCAATGTCATGACTGGTTACAGCAGTGTTACCAAAAGAAGATGCAGCCAATAGCCGTACTCCACAGCAGAATGCAAGAAAGTACTCTCTGTGGTGGCTGCACACTAAAGGCATTTGAGTGGGTTTATAACTTGAGTGAGCAAATGGAAGCTAGTTATTTCTGTGAACTCTTAGTAGACATCCTATATGTTCTAAGCTTGTGTAGCAAAACGACTTAGAATCATCTTCATCAAAACATAGTGTGAAGCCAGATATCAACACTTCCTAATAAAATTCTTTATATTAGTTGCAAAATAAGATGCTATAATAATGGTAAACACTTCAAATATTTATTAGATAACAATAAAGCACAAAGTTCCTCTAAGTCATTGCTAGAAAGATAACATGGCAATAGCACTTTAAAAAAACAGACCAAAACAAGAAGAATAAATTAAATTAAATGATTATTCATATTAAATATGCATTTTGGTAATGGGTTACAGGAGTGAAAGATACAAAATGATCATAGAAGCTGCTTAAACATTCCTGTTGGTGTCAGAGGAAATGAGATGAATTTCTCTGGAATAACAGCAAAGAATATGAACACATATACTTGGAACTGTCCTGTTTGCTTCTAATTTCAGCAATTCACTCAGTAGAAGCTGGAAAACCCATACCCTCCACAGCATGAAGGGTGGCAGCATCCATATCCATAGCCTCCGTAGCCAGAGCCATATCCATAGCTTCCATAGCCAGAGCCATATCCATAGCCTCCATAGCCAGAACCATAGCCATAGCCTCCATAGCCAGAGCCATATCCATAGCCCAGTTTGCGGATGCTGTTACATCCACAGCCATAGCCTCCATAGCCATAGCCCAGGCCTCTGAAGCCTCCATAGCCATAGCCCAGGCCTCCGTAGTAGCCACTGAAGTAACTCATAGTGTCGGGAGTGGTAGGTTTGTTCTGCTGTTTAAGATGAGATCAATCGTGAGTGTGAGCATCAGCACCTACAGCAAAGCTTATATACCCTGGGCAGAGGATGTGCTAAAGCCTGTGCCCCTCCTTTGTGTCATTCCATGAATTGTAATTGCCTGAGACAGCACATTCATCCACTGTCATTTGACCAACATTTGTTAAGAATGTTTAAGCTTTATTTGACTACTTTGTGAGTTTGTCTCAGAATTTATTGCTTCAACCTTATTAGACCGAGTCATTGTGTCTTCCAAATGCAAAGATACAGAATTTAAGAGAATTTGCTATTATTAGACAATACCAAATGCATTAAGTATTCTTGGATGGAAATTAAAATTTTTCTAGAGCATTTTGTTGGGGGACATTGTTATATTTTGAGCCCATGAAATTTGGAAAATAGCCTAGATCAAGATGGAAATGTATCAATGTTTTCAAAAGGGTCCCATATTTTGTGTCATGTGAGGCAAATACTTTACTCACTGTCAAGAGCCATAAACTGTCACCTGATTTCTAGAAGTATAAGATTTTGAGTATGCATGATTGTCATATTTATTTGGGGATTTTACGTTCAATTATGCAATATTTATTTTTGTTTAACAACATACCGCAATCAAGTTACAAGTGGAGAGAGAGAGACAATGACAGTGATTAAAATTCCATTTAGCTTCTTGGCAGAACTCTCGCTCTCGCTCCTGCACCTTGTCTCCACAGGAAATCCAGCTTCAGGGCTCCTGCAGATGACATCTGTGCCTGCTCTATTCATCCTGTTTTGTTCATCCTGTTTCTTTCCTTCTCTAGCTATTATTGGTAATTTGTGTCTTTCAAGTCTCATTTCAAGAATCACCCAACTTCAATTTCCCACTGTATATCTCTACCCAAATGAAGGGATGAGGAGATAAAATGGATTTGGCTATAGCCTACTCACTCAAGTCAATACTACTTAGTTCTCCACACTCAGGATAAGGCATGTGCCCTTTCCATCACTTTGCCTTTCTGTGCTCTTCTGTTGTTATAGCCGCTTTTAGGTAAAAATTTGAGGTAATGTTTTCTACAATGCCTGCTGAACCTTTCTAAAATATTAATAATGTTATTTATTACTTAAAGCATATTTTAAGACATAAAATCCTCTTCACATTTAATAAGGCTTGTAAGACTCAAAAAGATCTTAAATTCAGTAATTGTAAGGCCCAATCAGAGAAGGGGAGTGGATAATAGAATACTTTTTCAGAATATTGAAGGCTTGGTGTTCAATCTCCCCTTGGCTCATCCCGGTGAGGTGGCAATGCCCAAGGCTGAATTTGAAGTTGACCAAACCTCACCCACATGTAGCCACATCTTGAAAGCTGAGTCTCATATAATTTATTTTATGACTATAATTACACTGTTAAATTTTTCTTTATATTTATTATAGTTTTGAATGACATAGGTTTTAAGACTGTAACATTCCAGTTATGATTATAAAGGGACACATCCTTTGTTCTAATAGGTTTGTTTATTTGACCTTACCTTAGCAGTCAGTTGGCACTCGAAAAATTATAGGAATGGCATATATGACTACCCATGATATTAAAGCACAGACTAGTCAGAGAATAACTTAAGCAGCTTATCAGATACTCTAAGAAATATTTTCAGTCTGACATGAACTCCAGCCATGTTTCTGGTTGAGATAGCAATAAACCTACACTAGCCTTTCTCCTGAGGGTGTGTGCTACTCTAGCTAAACTTCATTAAAAAGCAGGCACAGCCTTTTGAAACTGCAGCAAGACACTGACATCTCTCACGCTCACGCTCATGAACTACATACTGGAGTTATAAACCCTACCCCTAACTTTCATAATGTTCTAAGCAAGTCTATGATTTTGTGCCAGGCCATCTGGAAGGATGATTTAGAACTCTTAACCACAGCTAAGAATTTCACACTACTGCTCTGGTACTCCGAGTGTGTAATTTGTTAACTGCATTTTCCCCAATATTTTGAAACATGAGTTTATCTTATATGTAGAAATAGTATGGGAAACAAATGACAAGCCCTTCAGTAATTTGTTTAATGCTAAATGTATCTTCATGAAAGAAGATACAAAACTGTGCTGGGCAAAGTTTACTTCTCCATTAAAACAAGAAAAAGTATTTTGAAGAAAATATAACAAAACACTATTTTCTATGAGCACAAGACAAAAAATATTTTTTGCAATATCTGTAGAGAATTCTATTTTTTTCTATCCATTCATTGAATCATAAGAAAAATTATGCTGTTATTACTTGTTTAGATATGTCAACTCATGACTTACATAAGTTTTTACTCATTTTTATGGATAGAAGGGTAAAAATATTCTCACTGTATGGAAGTGTTAAACTTTTACAAATGCAAAACATTTCCTCTCAACATAGAGATTGATCAATAAATCTTAAAGAAAACAAAATTGTTATAGTATTGACTAAACTTAGAATGTGAACATTAGTGATAATTTATTTTTCTCCTTTACAGCCTTATGCTAACTATTCATGGAGGGTATTATCCTATTTAGAAAGAAAATGCCTCCCGGAAAATCCTATGATACTTGGTCAGGTTACAGAACTAAACCTTCAACAGCATTGCTGAGTTCCATTTCACTCATTTAGCCCATAGTGGTGGTCCATCCCAATTTATAGCAGCATGGTCATATAGCAGAAAGTTCAGGTCATAGGAAATGTTCACCTAGAGTTGGATTTTAACATTGCTGATTGGTTAGTTATGTTCCCAAGTAGGTAACCTGTTGATTGGTTGATTCAATTCTCCATTTCAACAAAATAAGCTTTTTAAAGAGGCAAGTGTTAACACAGGTCATGGTCTGACAAAACTTCCAAACTTATGAGGTAAGGTATAATACTTCAGTACTTGTATTCAGCATGTGTTGGTCAAGTCAGGGTGATCATATTTCTATCTCCTTACTGTTTCATTGCTATTAAAGTATACCCCCTCTGTTTCTCTCTTGCTCTGTTTATATCTATCTATCTATCTATCTATCTATCTATCTATCTATCTACCTATCTCTGCATATATGCATATTTGTGTGTATTTGTGTATTTATTTACATATATATTCTTATATGCATTTTGTTGTACTTAACATACATCAACAATTTTTACATACAAATGAAATGAAACAAACAAAAATCATATTTCAATTTCTTATTGAATCATTTATTGGCAACTGAACATAAACTCACTCTTAGTCTCCAAGCTTAAAATGTAGACACATTTTATAAATGGAGTCTTTACCATTCTATGATTTCACCTGCCCAGGTGGCTTAGGACCATCACAGCCACTTGACTAGGATTTCTCAGAACACCTAGTCAAGGATTCAAATGCTGAATTACTAGAGCAGGATTTCAGTAGAAGCTGGAGAAACCATATCTTCCACAGCATGAAGGGCGGCAGCATCCGTATCCGTAGCCTCCATAGCCAGAGCCATATCCATAGCCTCCATAGCCAGAGCCATAGCCATAGCCTCCATAGCCAGAGCCAGAGCCATAGCCTCCATAACCACAGCCACAGCCCAGTCTCCGGATGCTGTTACATCCACAGCCATAGCCTCCATAGCCATAGCCCAGGCCTCCGAAGCCACCATAGCCATAGCCCAGGCCTCCATAATATCCACTGTAGTAGCTCATGGTGTAGGGAGAGGTAGGTTTGATCTGTTGTTCAAGGTAAAATCCTGAGTGTGAATGTCAATGAGTGTTAGGGGAAGCTTATATACTCTGCTGAACATGTGACAAAACCTGTGGGCACTGTTTTCAATCATTCCAAGTTATTAATGTACTAGGGACACCTCATTAATCTGTTTGCTAACACAAAGGGAGGAATACAACTCATTAAAATGTTTTAGCTTGCTTCTCTGCCTAGTTAGAATGCCCTTGAACTCACTGTGTCCCTTTTTTATGAGAAAACGTCAATGCCTTCAAAGTTAGAGACTTTAAATTCCTGTAATAGAATTCATTATTATGCTTGTTATATCATTCATATTGGTAGCCTTTTTTCTAAATATTTTCTCATTCCTAATTTTGTTTCATTCATTTAGATTGCAATATCTAATATCCACCTAGTTGTAATAAATGATCTTGTTTAAAACATTTAAACTTTCCATAATCTTCCAATGTGTTTTTCAGATTGACAAATGAAGCATCTGAACTCTTTCAAAAGGAGAGGATATGTTTCAGATGAATGAGCCTAATCACGATAGATACACAAAAAGAAACAGAAAACTGTAGGCAGAATTAAAAACTATTTTTACTTTATTCATCATCATAAAAAATTTCTTGGCTTATCAGAATACTAAAAATTTAACCCCCAAACCAAAGGATTATCAAGACATTAAATTCATTCTATAACCAGCCTAAATAGATTTTTCAAATATGTTCCCCTTATACCATTATCCATTTTATCATTTCTAGAGACTGGATTCTACCTACAGTGTTATCTGAGCTCCTCAAGATCCTTGCTTACGACTTCCCCTCCTCTTCCCCATATTCTATGCTGCCATCCTCTGTATCAAGCCACTCTTTACTTCATAATTTGTCTTTATTTTCTATTTATTATAGTACCAGCTGGGTATTTAGTTAATGACCGTTTACTTTTTAAATAGGCTTTCATCTTTTTATCCACATACCTAAAATTATCACAATACCTTTTCCCTTACATTGTATTTCCTACAGTATATGCATTGTTTGCATTATTTTGTCTTAGAAAATGAGCTCACAAGAGTTCAAGACATTACTTACTTGTAAATGTTTGAATATTTTAGGAAGTGTTGCTATACTTTTGGGGTCATGCACTATTTTAACAGGATGCTTTAAATTTCTCAGGACTCATAACTCTCCAAATATGAGTGACAATGTTTAACCTACTGTGTTGCAAAGAAGAATGTGAGCAGAGACTGTCACTTCTCTCAGATTTCCCAATCTTAACCTTAAAAACAGGAAATCAATCC